CCCCCGCCCCGCCACATCTGGGTGGTGACTTTGTTCATGCGCTGCGAGATTAGTAGGCTTTTTTCTTCGTTTCCCTACGTACCATAAATTTGCGACACTTGACCGGTGCTGTTGAATTCTTCTGACTGACAGCATCACCTCACTCGCCCACCCACCCGATACGCATCAGCATGCATGGGCAATGCATCTGCTGAACCAATCGTGCCGTTACTGGGGCTTGACCTCTCTGCAAGTAAGCAAGCCTGAACAACATCTGCCTGGTCGACAGCTGCCCCGTGATTCCAGGTACAGTACTGTACTGAGGGGGCGCCTCGAGAGCCGCGGTACAGAAGGCGGCAGTAGCAAGGGCATACAGTAAATGGAGTCGTAAACTGTGGCATGTGCCAGCTGCAGCCGATGTTGCTCAAGTTGTTCTGTGCTGCCACCTGTGAGCTACGGCTCGATCAAGGGCTTCGGCGCTCATGGGAACGCGCGGTGACAAGCGGGGCGCCGGTCTCACCGCCTTAGCAAGCATCGCAAAGGTCAGTTTACGTGATTTTGTTGCATTTGCAGGCAATCCACGAACGCGCGTCGCAGATTCTAAACACGCCAGATCACAGTTTCGGCGTTGCTTTCGTGGGCCATGGGCATGGTTCGGTTCGTAGCATATTGACCAAACAGTTTAGAGGATGCAAGTAGATGGCGCTGGCGATGGCGAGCAGGAGCAGCACGCGCCAGGCCCCTCGCCGCCGCGCAGCAAGCTGGGCGGGGCGCTGGCCCGGCTGCTGCGGCGCTCCGACGCGCCGGACGGCGCCGCGCCCGACGGCGGCGACGATAGCACTCCCGACGCCGCCTTGGACGATGAGGAGTCCCAGACCGGCGCCTCCCGCGCGCACGGCCTCGCGCGCCAGCGGCTCGGCCCCCATGAGGACTCGGCGCGCACCACCCCTGTAAGCAAGACCAGCTCGCGCCTCCTCGGCAGGCGCCCGGGCGGCATCCCTGGCCCTGGATCCGTGTCGTCGGTCGCCAGCGGCGATCACGCATCACTGGACGGCACCAGCAGGACCTTTCGGCCCCACAGGCGGTCCGCGGCGATAGCAGAGGATACGATGGGGACCGCCGCCGCGGCGCTGCCAGAGCACGCCGCCAAGATGGTGGGCGCAAGGGGGCCCCCATCCGCGCACCCGGCGCGGCTCACGCGGACACGCGGTCGTTGTGGCGCTGTTTGACGCCGCGGCGCGGCCGCCAGCGTGGCGGCGGGCGCTTCCTGGTGTCCGTCAAGGGAGGACACGCGGCGGCGGCAGCGCGAAGCAGCGGCTGTCGCGCGGGGTGCCACTTTCGCCACTGACTCCCTCTGCATGCACATGCACATGCACATACACAGACACGCATACGCAAAACAAATGCACACACAATCACACATACGGACACATCCACGCATGCCCCACCTCCCTCCCCCCAGTTTGTCAACATGAACCAGGATGCCCTGGTGGAGGAGGATTCCGCCGCGAGGCAGCGCCGCGGCGTCATACACCCGCTCTCGCGCGCCTACAGGTGCGCACCGGGGGCCAAGTGGCAGCTGCATGGAGACGGGCGCCGCGCAAGCCGCGGAACCGCGTCCTGCAGCGGACGGCGCCACGCGGCCGCCCGCCGACCAACGAGGCCCCCGCAGCGGCTGAGCGCCGCCGCGCCTCGCAAACGACCCGCGCGGCCGCGCCCTCAGGGTTTGGTGGTATGTCACAATCGTGGCGGCCTGCTTCACGGGGTGGCTGGAGCCCTTCAGGGTGGCCTACCTCCCAGACCAGTGCTGGTGGGTGCACCGGGCCCTGCCGGACGGCCGGTGGTGCTGGGTGCAGGCGACAGGGGCCCCGCAGCGGCGTGCGCTGGGGGAGGATGCGACGGAGCCGCCTCAGGCGGCGGGAGGGCGGGGGTGTTGGCGAGGGGGGCGAGCGGCGCCGGGCGGGCGCGGCCGGGCCGGCCGCACGCCTTGAGGGCTGGGGCTCCCCTGCTCCCTCACTGGGCTGCCTCATGCCGCCCCTCAGCCTTGCAACACAAAGCAGCTGCACGAACACGAACACACACACACACACACACACACACACACACACACACACACACTCAAAACACAAACACACTCACACATGCACACTCACACACACACACACACCACCCTCCCCTCCCCACTCCCAGGACCGACTCGACCACCCTGGCCCTGCATCCGGCCACCCTGCTGTCCACCCTCACGATGATCATCTTCTGCATCGACATAGTGGTCTCCTTCTTCGTCGGATACTTTGATGAGACGGGGGCTCTGGTGGTGGACAGTAGGAGGGTGGCCCTCAAGTATGCCAGGTGCGAGGGGGCCGGGGGGTGGGGGTCGCGCGCACGTGAGCGTGCGCGAGCGTGCGTTTCTGCGCGGCGGCGCGGTCGCGTGTTGGGCGTACGGAGGGGCGCGAGTGGGGAAGAGCGAACGACTTGGTGGTGTGACACGTTGTGTGGAGGCCCAGAAAGACGGCCGCTGCAGGCGAGATGGCGGGTGCTGGTGCACACCGTGTGACCTTGGAACGAGCCCAGCTCGTGGGGCCGTGATGGGGGTTGATCTGGTCGAGTCCCCGGGGCTGGGGCCGGGTGAACGCCCGCAAGCCGGCGTTGCAGGGCACTTTGCTGCTCGTCGGAAGGCATGCATGCATTTGCTCACGTGTGAGTGAACGTACACACAAGTGTGTGTGTGTGTGGGTGTGTGTGTGTGTGTGTGTGTGTGTGTGTGTGTGTGTGTGGGTGGGTGTGGGTGTGGGTGTGGGAGTGGGTGTGTAGAAAGAGTGAGGGAGACCGTGTGAGAGAGAGAGAGTGTGTGTGTGTATGTGTGTGTATGAGAGGGATGTTTTGTTCAATTGTTAGGGTACCGACGCTGCGCGGTCGAGTGCACGCAGGCCTGGACGGGTGTTGCGCGCCTGGGCTGCTTCACTAGCCTGTGCACTCGAAGCCCCACAGAGGGGCGGTCTCCCGCCCCTTTGTCTTGTCGACCTAGTCCCCCCCTCTGATCTGTTATCTGGCCTGCCACGCATCTCATCAGACACATCACACACACACACACACACACGACAACATCATACAACATATGCACACAGAGAACGCAACACACAAACACACCACACCAAACACACACAGATCATCACACACATACACCACCCTGCACCCAGTGCACACACACCCCACCGCACACGCCAAGACACACAACACAACTCACTTTCACACACACAAACCACGCACCAATCCCCACACACACCACACCTCACGCAGGGGCCGCCTCAAGTGGGACATTCTGACGACCCTGCCGTTTGATGCGATCGTGATGGGCGCGATGTACGCCAGCTCAATGGACCTGCATTGCACGGAC